ATCAGACTGAAGAAACTAACATCAGTGAAGAAACTAACATCAGACTGAAGAAACTAACATCAGAGTGAAGAAACTAACATCAGAGTGAAGAAACTAACATCAGAGTGAAGAAACTAACATCAGACTGAAGAAACTAACATCAGACTGAAGCAACTAACATCAGACGAAGAAACTAACACAGAGTGAAGAAACTAACTCCCGAGTGAAGAAACTAACATCAGAGTGAAGAAACTAACATCAGAGTGAAGAAACTAACATCAGAGTGAAGAAACTAACATCAGACTGAAGAAACTAACATCAGAGTGAAGAAACTAACATCAGAGTGAAGAAACTAACATCAGAGTGAAGAAACTAACATCAGGTTGAAGAAACTAACATCAGACTGAAGAAACTAACATCAGACTGAAGAAACTAACATCAGACTGAAGAAACTAACATCAGACTGAAGAAACTAACATCAGACTGAAGAAACTAACATCAGACTGAAGAAACTAACATCAGACTGAAGAAACTAACATCAGAGTGAAGAAACTAACATCAGAGTGAAGAAACTACTCGGTAAACTTCATAAACCATCATCACTGCGACCTAATAACTTATGTTCATGGGTTCTGACAGAAGGAGCAAACACATTTTGTGCACTAATAACAGCAATCTTGACCAGGTTACTGGAAACTTGACAACTACGAGAAATACAGACAACAGCTGATGTACATAATGCCAATATTCCAGCAAGAGGACAAGTAAATAACGTTTAAGTATACACATGTATCTTTGACAGGTTAATAGAGAAGATAACCAGGAGAATCGTGCAACACTTGAACAGAGGATTCATATTTGACAATACTAGTAAAGGTGACAGAAACAAGCAGGAAAAAAGAATGTATATATTACATGAGCTTGGGTTGTAAGATGGCATTCGATTCCACATCAACAAAAGACTGATCCACAAACACTCGTAGAGCAGGCAGGAGTAAAGTGAAAAGTATCACGGTGGGCCAAACAAAAACCTTGTGAAACTCATCACGGAACGGGTGGGGTTAGAACCCATGGCGAATAACAAAACTCATTCGCCATGGGTTCAAACCCCACCCATTCCGTGGTTTGTTTGCAATAGTCTTATTACGATTTCTTGAGTCTTGTGAAACTAATGGCGGGGCCACGATTGTAGATTGGACCATCACAACAATAAATAAGAATTCCCATTACTAAGATCTCATATTTAATCGCAGCTCATTTCCAGCGGCAGGTAATTTGTTTAAGCAACAGGAGAATAAATAATGCGGTGCGTAGATAATGAGTGTGCGTGACTGTGTCCCATGGGAACACGGTGTGGTGGAAGATGTCTGAGGAAAGAGCTGTGGGGCAAGACGTTTGTAAAGACAGGTGGGGGAAAGATGTTTGAGAAGAGAGGTGGAGAGACGGAAATGTGGGGGAAGATGTGAGAGAAGAGGCAGGAAGACGGAAGTGTGAAAGGGGAGAAAAAGGAAGCGTGTAGAAGGTATGAGGAAGGAGGTATAAGGAGGAAGATGATGGAAGTGTAAGGAGGGAATAAGAGAGGTGAAGGAGGGAGTGAGGGAGGTGTAAGGAGGGAGTGATGGAGGGAGTGAGGGAGGTGTAAGGAGGAATGCGAGGGAGGTGTAAGGAGGGAGTGAGGGAGATATAAGAAGGGAGTGAGGGAGGTGTGAGGGGGTGTGAGGAGGGAGGTGAGGGGGGTGTAAGGAGGGAGTGAGGGAGGTGTAAGGAGGGAGATGATGGAGGTGTAAGGAGGGACTGAGGGAGGTGTAAGGAGGAATGCGAGGGAGGTGTAAGGAGGGAGTGAGGGAGATATAAGAAGGGAGTGAGGGAGGTGTGAGGGGGTGTGAGGAGGGAGGTGACGGGGTGTTAAGGAGGGAGTGAGGGAGGTGTAAGGAGGGAGATGATGGAGGTGTAAGGAGGGAGTGAGGGAGGTGTAAGGAAGGAGTGAGGGATTTGTAAGGGGAGTGAGGGAGGTGTAAGGAGGGAGTGAGGGAGGTGTAAGGAGAGAGTGAGGGAGGTGTAAGGAGGGAGTGAGGGAGGTGTAAGGAGGGAGTAAGGGAAGTGTAAGGAGGGAGTAAGGGAGGTGTAAGGAGGGAGGTGAGGGACGTGTAAGGAGGGAGTGAGGGAGGTGTAAGGAGGGAGTAAGGGAGGTGTAAGGAGGGAGGTGAGGACGTGTAAGGAGGGAGTGAGGGAGGTGTAAGGAGGGAGTAAGGGAGGTGTAAGGAGGGAGGTGAGGAACGTGTAAGGAGAGAGTGAAGGAGGTGTAAGGAGGGAGTAAGGGAGGTGTAAGGAGGGAGGTGAGGGATTTGTAAGGAGGGAGTGAGGGAGGTGTAAGGAGGGAGTGAGGGAGGTTAAGGAGGGAGTGAGGGAGGTGTAAGGAGGGAGTGAGGGAGGTGTAAGGAGGGAGTAAGGGAAGTGTAAGGAGGGAGTAAGGGAGGTGTAAGGAGGGAGGTGAGGGACGTGTAAGGAGGGAGTGAGGGACGTGTAAGGAGGGAGTGAGGGAGGTGTAAGGAGGGAGTAAGGGAGGTGTAAGGAGGGAGGTGAGGGACGTGTAAGGAGGGAGTAAGGGAGGTGTAAGGAGGGAGTAAGGGAGGTGTAAGGAGGAGGTGAGGGACGTGTAAGGAGGGAGTGAGGGACGTGTAAGGAGGGAGTGAGGGACGTGATAAGGAGGGAGTGAGGGAGGTGTAAGGAGAGGAGTAAGGGAGGTGTAAGGAGGGAGGTGAGGGACGTGTAAGGAGGGAGTAAGGGAGGTGTAAGGAGGAGGTGAGGGACGTGTAAGGAGGGAGTGAGGGAGTGTAAGAGGGAGTAAGGGAGGTGTAAGGAGGGAGGTGAGGGACGTGTAAGGAGGGAGTGAAGGAGGTGTAAGGAGGGAGTAAGGGAGGTGTAAGAAGGGAGGTGAGGGACGTGTAAGGAGGGAGTGAAGGAGGTGTAAGGAGGGAGTAAGGGAGGTGTAAGAGAGGGAGGTGAGGGACGTGTAAGGGAGGAGTGAAGGAGGTGTAAGGAGGGTGTAAGGGAGGTGTAAGAAGGGAGGTGAGGGACGTGTAAGGAGAGAGTGAGTCATGAGATCAACATACATGAGAGCAGTAATGTGGAGTGAAGAGATCAACATACATGACAGCAGTAATGTGGAGTGAGTCATGAGATCAACATACATGAGAGCAGTAATGTGGAGTGAGTCATGAGATCAACATACATGACAGCAGTAATGTGGAGTGAGTCATGAGATCAACATACATGAGAGCAGTAATGTGGAGTGAGTCATGAGATCAACATACATGACAGCAGTAATGTGGAGTGAGTCATGAGATCAACATACATGAGAGCAGTAATGTGGAGTGAGTCATGAGATCAACATACATGAGAGCAGTAATATGGAGTCATGAGATCAACATACATGACAGCAGTAATGTGAAGTGAGTCATGAGATCAACATACATGAGAGCAGTAATGTGGAGCCATGAGATCAACATATATGAGAACAGTAATGTGGAGTAAGTCATGTGGGATCAATAGTGTGTGCTGTGCTGGTGTCACCCTGGGAGAGAGAAGTAATAATACGTGTGTAGATACAGAGGCGGTAATTAACTTTGGTACCGGAATATGGGATACCCTACTCACATACTCTGAAATCGGGTACTCCACGCTGGTAACGCAAAGTCCAATATTAACCTCATAAAGCTGGTGTATATTAGTCTTGTTGAGATTTCTACATTCTAGTTCATCAATGACGTATACATGCTGCTGACGCGATAACGTACATGCTACTGACATAATAACGTACAAGCTGCTGACGTTATTATGTACATGTTACTGACATGATAACGTACTTGCTGCTGACGTAATAACGTACGCGTGGTGATGTATAACGTAAATGCTGCTGACGTAATACTGTTTCTGTGAGTCCTAGGCGACAGGATAGGAAAGGAAGTAAGATGTTATGTAAACTTTCTTGGTATTATCACCAAAGGAATGATGTAAGAAAGGTCAAGAACTATACATCGACTGGGATCCTTGGGTACTCTCCTTCAGGATGCCACCCACAACAGCTAATTGACACCCAGGTTCCTGCAGTGAGAGACACAGCAGCCAAACCTGTTAAAATGACGTTTCGCCATAATTAGACATCATTGAGTTTACTCGATAAAGTCCAGCCATAGACGAAATGTCGTAATAAAGGTTACACTGTAATGTCTTTCACACTACTTATGTGCTTAGGTAATCGTTCCTTCAGCCAGGTACCTAATAAATGCTAGGTGAAGAAGGGCAGCAGGTGTAAGTAGACTTGCCCACACGTCTCACCTTGGCTCCTGTGTTGGGTACTCGCCTTGACCAGTAAGACACACATGCAGTGGCAGACCTACACTTTTAGGGCCCTGAAGTTTGAAATGTTATGGGGGCCCCTTCGCAACCCCTTCTCATACAGCAGACCCAAAATTTTTAAGCAATGTGGACTAAAGTAGCTTCTGGGGCCCCTCCAGGATCAGGGGCCCTGAAGCTTAGCTTCATTAGTTTTATGGTAGATCCGCCCCTGCACATGTGCGACAACTGGGTATCTTCAATGTTGATCACACGTTTCGCCTACATAGTAGGCTTCTTAAGGTTGAAGTACTGATTAAATCATCATCATTACCACACCAACTGCCTCTATACTTAACTGAAAACGCATACTGTGAAGGCGAAACGTTTCAATCATGAATAAAAACACTCAACTGTTGCACCCGTGTCTTACTCTTCAACTTGTCGTTATTATATACTATTTTTCAAAGTACTCATCTTAAATCCACACAACATAACACATAATAACAGTGATAATTACTGTAAAAAACACATCTTAATTACTGTAGGTATCGAGTTTTTTTTTGGAGGACCCAAAATGAATTGCACAACCATGGGCTTATCCATGTAAATTATCATTGTATATATTATAATTTACATTGTGACTCATGGATAATACTGATATATTTATCTACTCTCTTGCACAGGTGGTGTTAGTGGCGGTGACTGCGGCTGCCCTGATTCTGCCTTCACACGCAGGTAAATATATTCGTACCTCTTGTTCTCACCTAAATTTTCACATGTTGGCCTCACCTAACGTGTTATCTAACTTAATTTTGTCTTGCATTTCATCACGCTGTTCAATGAATCCCCTTAAAGTGAGACACATTTGAGACTCGTTTATTTGAGGTACACGACTTATGTATGTCGTGCCGATTAGCCGAACCTGCGAGTTTGTCCTAATTGGCAGGTTCGGCTTAATATATATATATATATATATATATACATATTGTTTACCAGAAACACATTTAGAGTAACCTCACATACCATGGTCCACTGGGCCTTCTTTGAATACTATTATCATTAACTATGATTAATAGTTATTTGTTTTTAATTTGTTAATCACTTTGTGTTAATATCTAACCAATTCTCCTGGGGAATTTATAAAACTGTTTGTGTACTGACCGCATGCACTAAATGCTCTAAATCATTTAGCATTGGTCAGTAAGTTTATTTAGGTTCGTTTACATAGTTTATAGATGATCACAAATTGTCTTACATAATATAATATGTGAAATTACCTAGAATAACCCCCTCCCCCAAAAAAGGTCAAAAGTGACTTATTTCCATTGGGGTCCTTGAGGTTCTTGGGTTTAAACCAGTATTTTTATTCATAGTTATTTTAGAAATAAAGTTCTACTTTTGGTGTTTTAAGGTCATTTAAAAAGCTAATAGCATTTAACCCAATATTTAATGCCTAATAGCCAAAGTACGTAATTTTTAAATCAGTTTTGTAAAGCCGCTCAGGAGACCTATTTAAAATACAACAGCCCTATACATATCATATACACATCTTAGTGTTTCTTTGCTGAGAATTTACTAAAGTTAAAACCTTGATGGAGTCACACGAATGTTATTGTCTGTTGCTCCTGTAGACAATCAAGTCTTGTTTGTCTTACTTAAATAAGCCAGAAAACACCTTAAAGCCGATAAAATACTATCATCCATTATACCCAGTGTTTTCACTCTTCATTTTCTAGGGGTACTTAAACCAGTATATATATAAACGCCTGTGTTCCCAACCTCCTCATTATCCTTTATATCACGCGAGACCACGGAAAAGAAAATCTATTACATTTTAAATTCCACAAATCTGGTTAAAAAAAGTATTTGGAATGTAATGAATAAATGGCTGTATCTCACGCTACCGCTATGTTTTTATGTGTAGCCTAATGTATGTCCTGTGTGTGTAGCCTAATGTGTCTTGTGTGTGTGTGTGTGTGTGTGTGTGTGTGGTGTGTGTGTGTGTGTGTTTGTGTGTGTGTGTGTGTGTGTTGTGTGTGTGTGTGTGTGTGTGTGTGTGTGTGTGTGTGTGTGTGTGTGTGTGTGTGTGTGTGTGTGTGTGTGTGTGTGTGTGTGTGTGTGTGTGTGTTGTGTGTGTAGCCTAATGTATGTCTTGTGTGTGTCAGCCTAATGTATGTCTTGTGTGTGTAGCCTAATGTATGTCTTGTGTGTGTAGCCTAATTTATGTCTTGTGTGTGTAGCCCACTGTGTCTTGTGTGTTCAGTCTAATGTATATCTTGTGTGTCTGTAACCTAATGTGTGTCTTGTGTGTGTGTAGCCTAACGTGTGTTTTGTGTGTAGCCTAATGTATGTCTTGTGTGTTTAGCCTAATATATGTCGTGTGTGTAGCCTGATGTATGTCTTGTGTGTTTAGCCTAATATATGTCGTGTGTGTAGCCTGATGTATGTCTTGTGTGAGTAGCCTAATTTATGACTTGTGTGTGTAGCCCACTGTATGTCTTGTGTGTGTAGCCCACTGTATGTCTTGTGTGTTCAGTCTAATGTATGTCTTGTGTGTAGCCTAATGTATGTCTTGTGTGTTTAGCCTAATTTATGTCTTGTGTGTGTAGCCCACTGTATGTCTTGTGTGTTCAGCCTAATGTATGTCTTGTGCGTGTAGCCTAATGTATGTCTTGTGCGTGTAGCCTAATGTATGTCTTGTGCGTGTAGCCTAATGTATGTCTTGTGTGTGTAGCCTAATGTATGTCTTGTGTGTTCAGCCTAATGTATGTCTTGTGCGTGTAGCCTAATGTATGTCTTGTGCGTGTAGCCTAATGTATGTCTTGTGTGTGTAGCCTAATGTATGTCTTGTGCGTGTAGCCTAATGTATGTCTTGTGTGTTCAGCCTAATGAATGGCTTGATGTGAGCAGGCTAATATATGTCTTGACGTGTGTGTAGGTAGGCAAATTACGTCTTGATGTGTGTATAGCTTAATATATGTCTTATGTGTGTGTAGCCTAATATATGTCTTATGTGTGTGTAGCCTAATATATGTCTTATGTGTGTGTAGCCTAATATATGTCTTGATGTGTACAGCCAACGGTATGGAGACATAAAGACATAACTGTGTTCTCAGTTGTAAAGCTTTAAAAGGTGTGACGTTCGTACCTAAGCGTTGAGAGGGTACACAACACGCGAGCTTCTGGTTGCTACAACACAGCACAATGGTGACAACTGAGCATTTAACGCTTAGCTGAAAACACCCGTATTCGATCCCAGGGCGTATCGTGTCCAGATGTTAGTGTACTGTTGTGAATCACATCCTGGGAAAGACGAACGAAGGTTTAGACGTCAAATAAGCCATAATATTTGTCTTCTCCTCCTTCTCTTCCTCCATCATTGTATTATATTTCTCACTTTTGATATGTTTAATAACGTATTTAAACTTATTGTTAATATCTTGTTTTATATCCTTTATAACTTCAGTGTAGTAATCTGTCAATTCTTTTACTCTTTTTTATATACATAATCCCTCAGTTAATCTTACTACTCTAATGGACCGAAGCAGGGTGGGCAGGGTGGGCCCCACCCCCCCTCCCCCCACCCCAAAAAATAAGTTTCTCTTTTATACTTTAGTAATGTTTACTGGAGGAGTTATTTGCCCATTGCTCCCGGCATGTTAGTTGCTCTTACTTACACGCATGAATTATGGAAGGAGAATTGTGTTCCACTTCTTCACCCCCCATATATATATGTATATATGTATATGTATATATGTATATGTATATATGTATATTTATATATAATATATATATATATATAATATATATATATATATATATATATATATATATATATATATATATATATATATATATAATATATATATATATATAATATATATATATATAATATATATATATATATATATGTCGTGCCGAATAGGCAGAACTTGCGATCTTGGCTTAAATAGCAACGCTCATCTTGCCATGTAGGACAAGTGAAAATTTGTGTATGCAATAATTTCGCCAAAATCATTCTGAACCTAACGAAAAAAATATATTTCACTGTGCTTGTTTAGTATTAAATTATTGTAAACAAATCTAAAATGTATTTAGTTGAGTTAGGCTAAAATAAATTGCGCTTGTTATAATAAGGTTAGATAAGTTTTCTAAGTTCCTTTTGGTGCAAAATTATAAATTTTTACATCAACATTAATGAAAAAATATATCTTTAAACGTATAAGAGAAAATTTCAGAAAGGACTTAATTTTAAATGAGTTCTTGCTAATTGACCAGTTTTACATATTCGGCACGACATATATATATATATATATATATATATATATATATATATATATATATATATATATATATATATATATATATATATATATATATATATATATATAATATATATAATATATATATATTAATAATAATAATGCACTGGTCCACTGTAGCATGGTTTTTGATACACTGGTCCACTGTACCATGGTCTTTGATACAGTGGTCCACTGTAGCATGGTCTTTGATACACTGGTCCACTGTAGCATGGTTTTTGATACACTGGTCCACTGTAGCATGGTCTTTGATACACTGGTCCACTGTAGCATGGTCTTTGATACAGTGGTCCACTGTAGCATGGTCTTTGATACACTGGTCCACTGTAGCATGGTCTTTGATACAGTGGTCCACTGTAGAATGGTCTTTGATACACTGGTCCACTGTAGCATGGTCTTTGATACACTGGTCCACTGTAGCATGGTCTTTGATACAGTGGTCCACTGTAGAATGGTCTTTGATAATAATAATAATATATACATATATATATATATATATATATATATATATATATATATATATATATATATATATATATATATATATATATATATATATATATATATATAAAAGGCAAAACACATTCGCCAAACATTCACAAAAATACAACAGAAAGTAAAACAACATAGGTAACTCAGAGCTGTATCTCGAATACTTCGTCCAGCTCCCCTGCGGTGGGCCGCGTGCCCAGAATGCTGCAGGCATTTCCTCTCTGGATCGCAACACTGAGTCTCTGAAAAAGGAAGCTGGTCGCCCTGTGGTCCTTGGTTTCTATCATGAGCTTTTCACCCAGCTCTTTGAGGAACTTTAGAGCACACTTGCCCCATGCTCCAAGGGTCTCTGACCCTATTGGAATGAATATATATATATATATATATATATATATATATATATATATATATATATATATAATATATATATATATATATATATATATATATATATATATATATATATATATATATATATATATATAATATATATAACTTTGTATAGAAAGGGGTTTAGTTATAGGTAATACATATTTTAAGAAAAAGAGGATAAATAAGTATACAAGATATGATGTAGGGCAAAATGACAGTAGTTTGTTGGATTATGTATTGGTAGATAAAAGACTGTTGAGTAGACTTCAGGATGTACATGTTTATAGAGGGGCCACAGATATATCAGATCACTTTATAGTTGTAGCTACACTGATAGTAAAAAGTAGACGGGATACAAGGAGACTAGAAGCATCAGGGAAGAGAGAGGTGAAGGTTTATAAACTAAAAGAGGAGGCAGTTAGGGTAAGATATAAACAGCTATTGGAGGATAGATGGGCTAATGAGAGCATAGGCAATGGGGTCGAAGAGGTATGGGGTAGGTTTAAAAATGTAGTGTTAGAGTGTTCAGCAGAAGTTTGTGGTTACAGG